CTCGAGTGGCCTCGTACCGGTAGGCGAATTGTAGGGCGACCCCCCATTAGATGGAGTAACGACCTGGTAAGACATGCAGGAAATCGATGGATGGATGGATGGATGGCTCAGGACCGTGCTTTGTGGCATTTCTTGGGGGAGGCCTACGTTCAGCAGTGGACTTGTCAATCGAGTTTATAGTTGTTATTAATTTTGTTTATTATTGATATTTGTTGTAAAGTCGAGTTTATAGTTACCTATTGTTGAACATTAATATTTTCTCTTATTAATATTTGTTATTTCTCACTTTTTAATAATATAATATATTAAAAAATAAACTTTAGTTAAATGTATATGGTTTGTATATTATGAAACGTTTACGTATTTTTACTATTTACTCGATATTTACAAACCAAATTTTGTATGATTCTGGTAAACTTTTACATAATAGATAATTTATAGATTTGTCAGAGATGCAGCCATTAAAAGGAAACTGAGCAAAATTGATTCATCAGCCTATTTAAATGTTTTGAAAAGCAGCGTATAGGAAAGCATGAAAATAGCCTGTTTGTTCCAAATGGAAATGGGATATTTTTTTAATTAAAGGAAACTGAGCATAATTATCCGTCAGGGATGCAGACTTTTGAAAAGAAACTGAGCTAAATTGAGTCGTCAGAGATGCAGTTTTCTGAATTGAATTGCAGTTGTTTGAGTTGAAAAGAAACTGAGCTTTTGAATTGAAAGGGAAGATCTGTGGGAATTCTGATTAATGGATTGTGGGAATTTTGAAAAAAAAAAACTAACTGAACACTATTTTAAGACGCTACTGTACACAATGTTATATGTTTTTCCATTCGGGGAAAGAATGTAGATATTCTGGGCATTTGACACACGCGCACATGCTACATACAGCTGACCATGAGAGAAGCACGGTTTTTCTAAGTTGACCTCCGCTACCTATAACGTTTGCCCTTGCGCTTTATTAATTGTCATTGCAAAATTGAGCTTAATAGGGAACTGAAACCTTTTGAATTGAAAAGGAAGATCTGTGGGAATTATAGGGATCCGTGGTATAATAACATTTTCACCTTTTCCTACGCCTGTCAAAATTGTAGCACTGATTATGTTCCGTCCAAGATGTGTCACACGCAGCCTTGTCCCGTTACATAACCGAGGAGCATCTAAATTTCGCAATAGCATGACTGGGACGCCAAATTTTAATTGAAGCTTATGTGAGGGCACACCTGACAACTCTAGAGAATTTAGAAATTTTGGCGTCGCTAGAAACTGCATCTTGTAAATGTATATAATTCTCAACGCGCAGCTTTTTTTTGATTTAAAGATATATAACGGAGACGTTCACTTTCTACCTTCACATACGTGTTCACTAAAAATTGATTTGTCTACACCGGGCTAAGAGGTTAAAATCATTTTCTCGCAACATCATATGATACGCATAAAAATCCATACATGATACTTTTTTGTTCGGAGCAGGCTCCTTTGTGACCAGGTTAATGAGTGGAATTTGAAAATGATAACCCTCTTGTCCTCTCACGCCGTGTAGTGGCGGTTGAGAATATCCACTACCCCATATCTTCCCGTGGGTGTCGTAAAAGGCGACAGAGGGAGACAGGCAGAAGATGGGCAGCAGCATCTTCCTGATAACAGCAATGATATAATAAAAAACTGCGGTTGCCAACCCGCCAGGCGTGGTAACTATGGCAAATATCCCTCCATGAGTACCGATGCAAACAAACGGCCCCCAGTCCCCGGCGACCCCGCTATTCCTGGCTACGGTGGCGACCATGGTAACGGCGGGGCAGGGGGTGCTAAGAATCTCCGGTGGAGGTTCAGTTGCCACCTACGACGACTCGACCTGGCAACATATAACGCACGCACCCTGAGGACTGACGAGAAGATACTGGAGGTGGAAGAAGAGGTAGACAAGTTGCGCTGGCATATTATTGGGTTATCCGAGGTCCGAAGAGAGGGGGAGGACACGGTAATCCTCGAGTCCTGCAACTTGTTCTATCACCGGGAGGGCGACCATCTGTCCCAAGGAGGTGTCGGATTTATCGTCCACAAGTCTCTCGTCAACAACGTTGTAAAAATTGGGAGTGTGTCGACGAGGGTCGCGTACCTGATACTCAGAATCACCAAACGGTATTCGCTGAAGGTCATACAGGCTTACGCACCAACCTCGGCACATCCTGATGAGGAGGTGGAGGAAATGTATAAGGATATTTCCAGAGCCATGCATTCCTCAAAAACCCACTACACGGTGTTGATGGGAGACTTCAACGCAAAACTAGGCACAAGAGAAAGCGGTGAGCTGAAGGTAGGGAAATTTGGAGTAGGGCAACGGAACCGTAGGGGCCAGCAGCTGGCCGACTTTATGGAGAAAGAGGGACTCTTTATGATGAACTCTTTCTTCCAGAAGCGGCCCCACAGGAAGTGGACCTGGTCCAGCCCCACGGTTCGACAAAAAATTAGATTGACTTCATTATGACGACCAGACGCCAACTGTTCAGTGATGTCTCAGTGATCGCAAGGGTGAAAACTGGCAGCGATCACCGAATGGTTAGAGGCACACTGAACCTAAACGTTAAGTTGGAGAGGTCTCGTCTTATGAAGTCAAAGCTCCGTTCCCCTCGTGCTCTAATCCAGAATCCTGAAACCTTTCAGCTCGAGTTACGTAACCGCTTTAATACTGCTCGTATTGAAGAAGCCATTGAGCGGAACCAGGGCTCCAAAGTCTTTGCCAGAGATCTGTCTGCCAGTAAGAGCCAACTTTCTAAGCTGAAGACTGAGTGTGGCAGCATCGTTTCTGGGACACCTGAGATTCTGAGTGAGATTGAGAGGTTCTATGGGCAGCTGTACACATCATCGTTGGAGCCACACGCAAGTGTGAGTAACGATCCAAGAGCGGGTCTTATTCGACACTATTCCGATGATATCCCGTACGTCAGTCTGAGCGAGATTAGAATGGCTCTCCAGCACCTTAAAAACGGCAAGTCACAGCGGAGCTTCTGAAAGCGGGTGGAAAACCGGTACTTGAAGTCCTTCAGAGGCTCTTTAATTCTGTCGTCCATGGTGGCACTACTACGAGGCGGGGAGCAGAAGTGCGGTGGTCTTGTTCTTCAAGAAAGGGGACAACGCCCTCTTGACCAACTACAGACCGATATCCCTTCTGAGCCGCGTCTATGTGCTGTTTTCGAGAGTCATTACGAATCGTCTCGCACGCAGACTCGACGACTTCCAGCCTCCCGAACAAGCCGGTTTCCGAAAAGGCTTTAGCACCATAGACCACATACATACCCTTCGGCAAATTGTACAGAAGTCTGAAGAGTACAATCTGCCACTTTGCCTGGCGTATGTGGACTATGAGAAAGCCTTTGATTCCGTCGAAATTTGGGCGGTGCTACAGTCTCTATAGCGGTGCCAAGTTGACTGTCGGTATATCGAAGTGCTGAAGTGTTTGTATAGTAGGGCTACGATGGCTATCCGAGTACAGAACCAGAGTACGAAACCTATCCAACTGCAGAGAGGTGTAAGACAGGGTGACGTTATTTCCCCGAAACTCTTCATCGCTGCATTGGAGGACGTTTTCAAGCTACTGGACTGGAAAGGATACGGTATTAACATCAATGGCGAGGTCATCACTCACCTTCGATTTGCCGACGATATAGTCCTTATGGCAGAATCACTGGAGGACTAAAACACTATGCTAAATGACCTCAATAGTGCCTCCCAACGGATAGGTCTTAAGATGAACATGGACAAAACAAAGATCATTTTTAATGTCCATGTCACACCTATGCCGGTAGTTGTTGGTAGCACTAAGCTCGAAGTTGTTGACGAGTACGTTTACCTGGGACAAATAGTCCGGCTAGGTAAGTCCAACTTCGACCGAGAGGTCAATCGACGGATTCAAATCGGCTGGGCAGCGTTCGTGAAATTAAAACGCTTCTTCTCGTCAAGTATACCTCAAAACCTGAAAACTAAGTTGTACAACCAGTGCGTGTTGCCAGTGATGACATATGGAACTGAAACGTGGTCCTTCACTGCTGGCCGTATGAGGACGCTCAAAGTCGCTCAGCGAGCTATGGAGAGGGCTATGCTTGGAGTTTCTCTGCGTGATAAACTTAGAAATGAGGATATCCGCAGTAGAACCAGAGTGACTGACATAGCCCAACGGATTAGTAAGCTGAAGTGGCAATGGGCCGGCCATATAGCTCGAAGAACCGACAACCGTTGGGGAAAAAAGGTTCTCGAGTGGCAGCCTCGTACCGGTAGACGAAGTGTGAGGCGACCCCCCACTAAATGGAGTGACGACCTGGTAAGACATGCAGGAAGTCGATGGATGCAGGTGGCTCAGGACCGTGCTTTGTGGCATACCTTGGGGGAGGCCTATGTTCAGCAGTGGACTTGTAAAGGGCTGTAATGATGATGATGATGATGAACCCTCTTGTCCTTTGCAATAAATCAATGGGTATTGCAGAGCGTCATAAAACTTGTGTATCGGCTACCCGTTACAACGTATCATCACGTGCTCGCAAGACAATGTCTAGTGAAGAAAATTGATCACCACTAATTACGGCTGCTATTTCGTTTATCAAAGGTGCATTGTAGCGCCTTTCATGCTCTCCTCGAGGGTTCCGATCTGCGTGAATGACGAATTTATAATCCTCTTCAGGTAAGTTTTCTAAAGCAGTTTTAAATGTTTTGACATGCAAAAATCTTTGAATTTTGAACACTGTGTCTCTCTCGACTCCCTGGATAAATTGGCAGCGACGGTCTACCTCAATTTCTTCGTCACCCATAAAATATACTTGTAAAAATTTATGCTGTTCGTTTTCAGCTGAAAAAGTGAACCTATTCTATGATAAATTTGCCCTTGCACCGTAAATGTAGGCGAAAATCCCGGCATTATTATTTCCCGGTCAACTCCGAAGGACGTCATTTGAAAGCATGAGTTATTTTTTCGGATCCTGTTTAAAAAGCGCCGTGACTCATTAGCATCATATGTATAAAAAGAGAGTTTTCAAAGGTTCTTCTGGTTCCCCAAGTAACGGAAGAGACACTTTGCCATCATTACATTTTAAAGCGCTGCAAAATCGACACGCCTTGTCCATCAGTCCGATAACAACTAACCTGTGATTTCTATAATCAATCAACGGATCATAATTGAATGCTGCGTCATTAAAAACCGACCAATTGTTTCTTTGAAAATTTTGTCGACGTTCATCTTGGAGCTGTGCATTTACATCTCTTCGCGCCTGTGTCTGTTCTGGTGTTTCAGATGCCCTTATAGTAGATTGACGTTCAGCTTGCTCAATGAGTCTGTGTTGAGTTTCATCAGGTGTTTCCGCGGCTCTTAAGGCGGCCTGACGTTCCGCTTGTTCGAATAGCCTTTGCTGACTTTGAGCAGGTGTTTCAGTAGCTCTTAAAGTAGATTGACGCTCTGCCTGTTCAAGACGCTTTGCTGACTTTGATCAGGTGTTAAAGTAGTTTGACGCTCTGCCTGTTCAAAACGCCTTTCCTGACTTTGAGAAGGTGTTTCGGAAGCTCTTAAAGCAGCCTGACGCTCTGTCTGTTCAAGATGCCTTTGCTGACGTTGAGAAGGTGTCTCAGATGATCTAAAAGCAGTCTGACGCTCTGCTTGTTCTTGCCTTCTCAGTTGAGCGTCTTCTAAAGATTCTAGCGATCCAGCTAATCTTTTCGCTTGTCTTTGAGAAGATACTCTTGAAAGGCTGGACTTACGTTTGCGAGGCATTATGAAGTAAGAAAAAACCTGTTTATAAAAAAACGTTAAAATACCTAAAAGGAATTAAATTTCCTTTTAAATATTTTTTTAAAAGCAAATCCAAAATATCTAAAAGGATTAAATATTCCTTTTAAATATTTTTTAAAATCAAAACAACAAAACCAATTCAAGACACAACACGAATCCGAAAACGATAGCCAAAAAAAAATCGAATCAACTTAAACCAAATCACAAAACAAATCGCAGAAAACCGAAATCGAAAGCAGTAGTCAATATAAATATAACCAACGAAAAAAGAAGTAAGTGTATACGTACCGTATACACTATCTATACTATTAATATTCCTTTGAAATATTGTTAAACAACCTAAAACAACGAAAACCAATTCACGATTCTAAATAAACAAAATCCAAAATCAAAGCCAGAGTCTAAATATGTATAAAGGAATACCAACCAAATCAACAAAACCGATCCAAGAAAATACACAAATCCGAAAATGAAAACCAATATAAATCCATTCAACTTTAACCAAATCACAAAGCAAATAACAAACAACCGAAATAAGCTACGAAATAGAAACAATTTAAGCGTATAGGTACCGTATGCACTATAAGTTGACGCGCGGCTCAACGTCGGGAGTTAAGTATATGTCAGGAAACATTTGGTTACCGCGTTTTAAAAACTAAGTAACGACATCTAGCGGAATCAATTTAAACTATGTATACGTTAGTTAATAAGAACTCTCAAAAAATATTTTTCTTGTAATTTTGCACAATTTTTCTTATTGTAATACCGATTCATTCATAAACACATATAAGAACGGCTTAATAAGGCTTACTAAAATCTGTTTCTACCACAGTTAAGTAATAGTTAAGTGTGAAAGCGTGACACCTGGTGATAGTATTTCTGATCCATACTTATAATCACGCCTGCAACCCTTGCGGGGTAGGCAGAGCATCAACGGATTACTTAATATCGTCTGCGAGGTTATCGCCTATACTGTGAATTACAATGCACCAAAACGTTTGAAGAAAATCAGCTGGTGAATTTTATGTTTTTATAGCTCTCTTCCCGGTCCTGCGTGGAAAAATACAGATCTATACATTTTTTATCTTAATTTTGGTAAAAAAAAAACAGAATAATCCAGATATTCTGACCTTCTGTGTTCGTCCATCGTACCGTCGTCCGTCAAATCATGCCATGCCGACGCTCTGTTGCGACGTGAAAGAAGGACAAACTTTTGCAACATATTCTATTTTCCCACGGGAATGAGATGTTTTTCCGCGGAAAAAAGTAGCCTATGTCACTCTACAGCCACCGAACTATCCCTATACCAAAAATCATGCCATGCCGACGCTCTGTGGCGACGTGAAAGAAGGACAAACTTTTGCAACATATTCTATTTTCCCACGGGAATGAGATGTTTTTCCGCGGAAAAAAGTAGCCTATGTCACTCTACAGCCACCGAACTATCCCCATACCAAAAATCATGCCATGCCGACGCTCTGTTGCGACGTGAAAGAAGGACAAACAAACAAACACACTTTCGCATTTATAATATTAGTATGGATGTAGTCATAAACGTATTTATTTTCTGTATTAAAGTATAATAAGAAAGCAGACATTACTGTCAATCTGAGTATACCTGCGCGAAGCCGCACTCGCTGTGAATTTCACAGCCACTTTCATGAAAGTTAGAGAACAGGAGAACGATCACTACGTACTAAAGCATAGCCCGCCTGTCCTTGGAAATTGTAGAATACATAGCGGCGCTGACGTCGGTGAGTAGTGACTGCGGAGTTAGCTGTTTATGAGTACAAGTAGGTGAAGTTAGTTTGAATAATGTACAAATTTTCATTTCATTTTTAGTAGAAAATTTTCATGCTCAGTAGTTTTTAATTTTTGACAAAAAGACACATTAAAAAACGGAAAAATATTTTATTGTCCGTGGATGTGCAAGTGGTTTAGCATCTGATCGGAAAAATAGACTGAAAGTGACTTATTGACTGAACTTAGTAATCACAGCGCCTCATTGATGGTGTCCATATTTCTGGGACACTATTTTCTACGGCGATCGTTTTCCTGTTCTCTAACCTTCATGGCCGCTTTTATGTTTCAATAGTTAGTCTGCCCGTTGCCGTGGTTATTGTATGCAAGTTGTGTATATAGCCATCTTCTTTTTTATCAGCTCGTAAAATGCTTCGTTTAAAAGAGGTCCGTTATAGGGACGAGCATTAATAGTCAAGCTTGGCTTCTCGAGATTTGTCTATAGTTCATAAAAGATAGCTTGATCTCTGCGACAGCTGTCAGTAAAATCACGCCTATGAAATCCTGAATTTCTTAGTAGTACAGACAGTATATGTCAATGTCATACTTTATGGGCATGCACTAATTAGGTCGGCATGCCCCCATAAAGTATGACATTGACAGGTACTGTGTGTCTGTACTACTAAGAAATTCAGGACTTCATAGTCGTGATTTTTACTGACAGCTGTCGCAGAGATCAAGCTATCTTTTATGAACTATATAATTAACAATAACTACGTCATATAAAGAAGCAGAACGTGTAAAATGTAAATTCTCCTGTTTTTGTCACACACAACTTTTTCTGCCACCAGGGCGACGCCGTTTATGAATGAGATAAAATATTTATCGGATTTCAAAGCGGGGCATTTAATTTCTTACAAGTCATGAAGGTTAGAGAACAGGCGAACGATCGCTACGTACCAATATAATATTGTAGTCTTTGTTACGTACTAAAGCATAGCCCGCCTGTCCTCAAAAATTGTAGAATTTATAGCGGCACTGCCGTCGGTGAGTAGTGGCTGCGAAGTTAGCTGTTTATGAGTACAAGTAGATGAAGTTAGTTGAATAATGTACAAATTTTCTTCGCGGCATTGGTGAGAAAATTTTTACGCTCTGTAATTTTTTAATTTTAAAAGAAACATTAAAAAATGGACAAATATTTTATTGTGATTGGATGTGCAAGTGGTTTAGCACCTGATCGGAAAAATAGACTGAAAATGACTTGAGCGAACTTGGCGATCGTAGCGTCTCACTTATGGTGTCCTTATTTCTGGGACACTATTTTCTATGGCGATCGTTCTCCTGTTCTCTAAACTCCATGACAAAAGTGAACATTTCTTCATTTGTTTCTTGCCAAAATATTAGTTAACATTATATATAATTTGATTAGAAATGGACAAACCAAACTAAGGATATATTTTAAAAATGTGTAAAAATTAAAGAATACAGCACTGAGACATAGTTTTGTGTTTATACATCATCATACACTATAAACCAAAAAACTAAATTAAATCTCACTTTTTCAATGATAACCCTGTGTAAGCATATGCCTAACAAATAAGTTCACAAGAGCAATAAGTTTACAGCGCGAAACTATTAGCCCATTATACTCTTCGATAGTGAATATACATGGTAGAGTTAGTACTGTTATGGTTGTAGCACGATTGGGTCGGCTCGATCGGGGAAGGACTACGTTCACGCAGATACCAGTTTAAAATAGCAGCTGAACGCTGCTGTTTCGTATAGGGTATTTCATCTTAGTCCTCTTAGTGTGACAACGCATCTGCTTTTTGATTCTTAACCTCTCAACCCCCTAGCGGTCGCACGAGTTCGCGGCCACCCACAGCACTTTAACCCATAAATACTTATTATATAGAGATTACTTTTCTATGAAGAAATTTGGCATTATATAATCAATATGAAATACTTTATCCTCTAGTGCAATAATTCGACCAAGCGAATGTCGGCAGCGTGAAAATCACAATTATTTCAATATATATTACTCGAAATTATTTACGTAAAAAGATAAATTATATTCACACAAAAAATTTCGTTACAATTTTATAATAAACACTAGAAAAATCCAAAAATCAAAACAATAACATTCACGCGAAAATGGCGTACGAAATTAACGTAGATTATAAATAAATATTCATAGTTTATCCTATGAATATTTATTCAAAGTGTACGTTTTTGTGTGAATATAATTTATCTTTTTACGTAAATAATTTCGAGTAATATATATTGAAATAATTGTGATTTTCACGCCGCCGACATTCGCTTGGTATGTTTTTTTTTTAATCAAAATACAATAAAATCTTTTTGTAATGAAGTAAAACCTGACTTTTGTTTAGACCACAGGATAGAGTTTTGTATAGATTTTATAATGCTAAACGTCTTCATAGAAAAGTAGTCTCTAAATATAAGGCCTAATAGTTTTAAGTGATGTGGGTGGGTGCGGTCGCATGCGGCCGCTCGAGATTTGCCGGGCGCATCTGTCTGCGTGGGATTTTATGGCGCTTGAAGGGTTAATAATAAATAACTACGTGGTCGTCTGTCACCCTTACTGTATAAAAAAGTGAAGACGTTCTTCATCAAAAGGTAACCACGGTCAATAAAACTACAAACAAATGTTAAAATGGTATATTTATTACAATCAAATATCTCCGGCCGGCATTCGTGTAACGTATTACAAAATTTGTTTATCGCCGACTCTACAATAATAACCTCTAACACTTTATTATAAAATTATATAATCTTTTGGTACAATCCATTTTAAGTGCACTTTAACAAACGTTACCACGTATGTGACATAAAGGCTAGTTCTCACACTGTGGAAATTCACAATTTCCTACTATACTGATTTATAATGCGCGGGCACTGACATTGTAAACAACTTGCAACATTCATTCTTGTATAAGAGATACCATAGACAAGTTAATTACATTTTTATCGATACTAAATACATTCCTATTTCTTATATGTAGCTCATGCTACAAACCATTTATTTTTATACTATATCCCTGGCAATGAAGCTCTGAAAACTACAAAATTTTCTTTACTACTCTCTGATACAAGAAAACAAATGTATACAACTTGAATATTCCAAAGTTTAGGCATCAACGGTTTGACTTCCATGCGAGACTTATTTGAATCGATGAGAAAAGTAAGCGAATTTTATACATAGTATGTCGCATGTAAGC